TCTTGGTCTCCTGTGTAGCTAGAATTATAGGCATGGTTTCTAGGTGTTGGCTACTAGGGAATTTTTTAAAAGAACTTCTTTGCTTTTGTTTACTGTTGCTGTGAATTTCATCTAGCGGTTGCACCTTTCTTTATTCCACTATCCGCTATGGGTGGGCATTTGCATTGCTTTTAATCTTTTTGCTTCAATGAGATAACTCACATATCATGAAATTCACCCTTGTGTTGGCACAATTGAGTAGTTTTAATGTTTCCAACCTTTTGTTCTGCAAATAATGATGTAACTTTGAGTATGTACTTACCTGAACCATGGTAAAAATGTATTTGTAGGAGAAATTCTAAAAAAATATTATGCTGGGTTAAAGGATAAAAGCAGTTGAAGTTAGAAATGAATTGCCAGCCTCTCTCTCATATGTATTTCACTTTATACTCTTGGAAGCAAAGTCTAAGACAGTCTTTTATTTTTAATGATTGTATTTTTTTTTTTTTTTGTCTGTTCTGGGACTTGATATAAGGGCCTGGGCACCGTCCCTATGTTCAAAGCTAAAGCTGTATCACTTTGAGCCACAGCTCTACTTCCTGTTTTCTGGTGGTTAATTGGAGATAAGAGTCTCACAGACTTCGCTGCCTAGGCTGGCTTTTAACTACAATCCTCAGATCACAGCCTCCTGAGTAGCTAGGATTACAGCCATGAGGGCCTGCCGTACCTTTTTTTTTTTTAGGTTCGTTTGTTTTCTTGTGTTGGTTCTGAGACTTGAACTCAGGCCTGGTGTCTGTCTCTGAGCCCTTTTTGCTCAGAGCTAGCATTCTACCGCTTGAGCCACATCTTCACGTCTAGCTTTTTTGGTGACTAGCTGGAGATAAAAGTCCCAAGGACTTACTTGGCTGGGTTAGCTTCTAACTGTGATCCTCAGATCTCAGCTTCCTGAGTAGCTAAAATTACAGGTATGTGCCACTGGTGCCCAGCTAGAATTTTGTCCTTGTGACATAGCTGTTCAGGTTTCATTTTTTTTTTTTTTCCTTCAGTAATGGAGTTTGAACTCATGGCCTCACACTTGCTAGGCAGGTTCTATACTACTTAAATCATGCCTCTAGTCCTGTTTTATTCTGATTTCTTTTGAAATAGGGATCCTCTTCTTGCCTGTGCTCTCAAGTAAGCCCCGAGCCACCTACTTTAAGCTTGTCTTTGTATCCAGGATAACAGGGAGTCCCATTGCCATGTGTAGTTTTCCTTTTTAGAGATGAAATCTATCAAACTTTTATGTTCAGGTTGGCCTGGAGTCTCAACTTTCACTCACAGCCTTTCACATAGCTTGGGATGAGAAATATGTGCCACTATGCCCATCTGTGGGTTGAAAAGGAGTCTCATGAAGTTTTCTAACCAGGCTGGCTTTTAACAATAATCCTCTGGGTATCAGCCTCTAAAGTAGCCAAAATTATAGGCTTGAGCCCCTGGCATCTGGCTCAGATTATAATATTTTTATTTTCTTGGTGAATTCTTTTTTTAAAATATATTTTTATTGTAAAGATACTGTACAGAGAAGGGTTACAGTTACATGAGTAAGGTAGGAGTACATTTCCTGTCCAGCTTTGTTATCCCCTCCTTTGTTTTTCCCCTTCCATCCCTTCCCTCCCTAGCTCCCCAACTCCTCCCTCCCTCATCCTCCATGAAGTTGTAAAGTTTGTTTTCAGCATAGTGTTTCGTACATCTCATTGCTACAATGGGTCAACCTGTATCTTTATTTCAGCATTTCGTTATTTCCCTTCCCCTCCCCAAATTAGAAAAATGTGTATATTAGATGCAGGGTACCGGAATCAAATACAGTTAAAACAGGGATTATACCATGGGGGAAGAACATACAAAAGAAACAAAAAAAATCACATAGTATAATATAAGTACATTGAAAACAACAGCAAGAAAAAGAAAACTTGTGTCCCTATCTTGGGGTTCATTTTGCTTAGCCAGATTACAATATTTTTAATTGTTGGATACTCTGGGTTTCAATTAAGCTGAGAGGGAGTTATTTTTCTAATAACTTACTTGAAGCCCTTGGCTTAAGTATTTTTGCCTGCATTGATACCTGTTGACCTATGGGACAAGTCTGTTGATATTTAATCTGACTTACATGGAATATGTAATTCCTTTTGGAAATCTATACCTTTGTGCTCTGCATTATAAGCGGATTAGCTTTATCAATGAACTCTCACAAAGGAGACCTTGAGTTGGGTTTTGTAAGGTGCAGCCTCTGAATTATTAAAAGCTTAAAAGTTTTGGTGGCATTTATAAATATTCTAGTGCTTTGTATTTATAAAAAGTCCTAAGAACTTGCAAAAGGTTCTTGGGAAATTCAGGCTTTCCTGAGCTGAAAATTAAATTGAGGAATAGGATTTTGATTAAATTAGCAATGGTGTACATAAACGTGTAAGTATATTTGTGGAAATATCATTAGTTCCTTTTTGTGCACTAATACTAAAAGCAGATAAGCCAATTATCCAATTAGTGAATTATTCAAACTATATGAGTATTGGTATTTCAGGTCCTTAGTAAGAGAAGATCTTTCCCTCTCATTATAGGTCAGAAAATAATCAACCATCAAAACAGAGGTTTTAATAGGTCTAGGATTATGCATAAAAATAGAATTTACTGTTTATTTTTGCTGATGACTAGTTGTTATATTTCTAGGTTTTTTTCATTATTCACTTCACATTTTGATTTAACAGCTTCAGAAAGCTTCTGAGTGCTACCAAGAGGATGTTTTCTCTGAACTACTTTGATGCTGATGAGTTGTGAATTGAAGGCTTCTTTCCTGGGTCAGAGGCTAAAACACTAGACTACTAGTTGAGTAGGATTTGCAATGTGTAAGACAGTAGCTAGTGGAGCAATGTGTTTACCAAACCTGTATGCTGTGTGTGTGTGTGTGTGTGTGTGTGTGTGTGTGTGTGTGTGTGTGTGTGCCTGTGTGCCTGCGTGTGCGTGTGTGCGCACGCGCGCCAGGCTTGAACTCAGGATCTGGCACTGTCCACTAGCTTTTTCTCTCAAGGCCGGAGCTTAACCACTTGAGCTACAGCTCTGCTTCTTTTGGTGGTTAATTTTAGCTAAGAGGCTCATAGACTTTCCTGCCCAGTCTGGCTTTAAATCCTCAGATCTCACCCTCCTTAGTTCCTAGCATTCTAGGTGTTAGCCAGCAGTCTCTGGCATGCAAACTGTGTTCTTTACCAGTGTAGATACATTGGCCTACAGCCATGTACAGCACAGTCTAATTCTTAGTCATGTCTTACTGGCTTTACCAAAACCCTGACGATAATTTGCTTTTTTAGTGTTATTTGAAAACCACTTATTTCTGCCATTTTTACAAATAATTAATATGTATTTATGTGTCTGTGTATACAAATATATGCCATTTATATGCCACATACACAGACCCTGTATATGTCTGCATATATGTCTAATGTGTCAGATCAGGTGTTTGAAAAAAAATCAGAATGATAATCACTTCATATGTGTTTGCTTAGTTATAAGACTCTCTGACTTCATCTGAGTAGCAAGTTCTGTGTGAGGAAGATATGGATTTTTTTTCTTCCTTTTTTTAAAAAGTAGTTCTGGAGATAGAATTTAGGACTTCCACATGCTAAATAATTGCTCTACCACTTGAGCCAGTACTTTTGTTTTTTAGTTATTTTTTCTAGTAGAGTTTTATTTGTGCTCTGAAATGTGAGCTTCGTATTTGATTCTTACCAAGCTGGGTTTACAGGTATGTGCCATCATGGCCAGCTATTGGTTGAGATGGAGTCTCATGAACTTTTTGACAAAGTGGGCCTTGAACAGCTGTCTTCCAGTCTCTGCTTCTCTTATAGCTAGAATTACAGGCATGAGATACTGTTCCTGTAAAGAAATAGTTTTTCTTGAACAGCTTCTTATTACTGAATATTAAAAAGGGTGCTTCATAAATTGGAAGAGAAAAGCAAAAAAGGAATAATATAGGTTTAATAACTATTACAGTAGTTAAAAGTTTATTTACCTATTTATTTATTTAGTTTTCACTGGTCTTGGGCCTTGAACCCAGGGCCTGGAACTGTCCCTGAAACTCTTTGCGTTCAAAGCTAGCTCTCTACCACCAGGCTTTTTGAGTAGTTTATTGGAGATAAGAGTCTCATGGTGCTGTGGCTCAAGTGGTAGAGAGCTAGCTTTGAATGCAAAGAGTTTCAGGGACAGTGCCAGGCCCCGGCTGACATTGAAAGCGATCCTCAAATCTCAGCCTCCTGATTACCTAGGATTGCAGGCATGCACCACTGGTGCCCTGCTAGATCAATTATTTTTTAAAAGTTTTGTTCTTTTTGCAATATTTAGATTTGAACTCAGGGCTTGTGCTTGAACCATATCCCTAGTCCTTTTTTGATTTAGTTATTTTTCAGGTAGGGTCTTGCATTTTTGCCAGGATGTCTTAGACTGAGATTGTTTTAGACTGGGATTGCAGACTGGGATTTCTTGCTGAGGCTAGTCTTAAACCATGATTCTCCCAATCTGTGCCTCTAGAACATCTGGGATTACAGACAGGAGCCTGAACTGAAAGACTACTTTTACAAAAGCAAATAAATGTTAACAGGATAAGTAAATATCCCAGTGTTATGCAAGTAGAGGGTTATCTGTTAGTTTACTCTTTTCAGGGATAATATTATAGAAGGGTGGAAAACCAACTGTGTCTCAAACACAGATAGATAGGAAGATTTGTTCTGGAAAACTATATTGGGTAACTTAAAAAGTTAAGCTAGGGATGAAAATATCTTGTGAAAGATGGATGTGAATCAAACACTCCAAAATCTGTGAATAAATCATTTTTAAATTCATGCTTCATACATCCTGAAATTAAAAAAATGTGTGCTTCATCAATTATTAATTACTCAATTTCTATATCTAAAAGCTCATATATTCAAATTAGCTAAGCTTTCTATTTGAGGTCATTTTACATTTAGTTACATAGAATCTTCACTATTTTTAAACAGAAACTGAGGCTTCTTGAGGAGCTTGAAGACACTTGGCTTCCTTACCTGACCCCCAAAGATGACGAATTCTACCAGCAGGTAAGATTTTATTAGTGTGTAGTGATGTGCTCTGATGTGCTTTTATTTATTTAGCCAGTTCTGGGCTTGAACTCAGGGCCTAGACACTGTCCCTGAACCTCTTTGTGCTCAAAGCTAGTGCTCTACGACTTGAGCCACAGCACCACTCCTGGCTTTATTGAGTAACTTATTGGAGATAAGAGCCTCATAGGGACTTTCCTGCCTAGGCTGGTTTTAATCCACATTGTTAGATCTCAGCCACCTGAGTAGCCAGGATTACAGGCATGAGCCACCGGTGCCTGGCTCTGATGTGTCTTTTTTACTTGTGAGCGTGCTAATGTAGGAAGTGGAAAGATCACTTCCCTGTCTACTTTCTCCATAAGCTCAGTGCCTTTGCCAGACTGTCCAGGCTCTTTCCCACTTTTCGTTTGATTCCTATCATGAGGCTATTTTACTTTATATTTTCATTTGAATATTTTTATTATCTTTAAGTAGTTGTATAAAGGAGTTGCCATTCAACAAAGCAGTTTATGAATTCAGTGCCTCTTGATGTGTCACCCCTTTCAACAGTCTCACTCACCACTCTCAACCCATCCCTTCCCTCATTTTTCTTAATTTTCAGGTTACATATTGATTTTTTTTTTTTGCCATTTAAGAAAGCAGTTTATGTATACAATGTGTCTTGATCTGTGTCTCTCATACTTTTCTGCCTCTACTCATGTTGTCTTTCTGACAATTGCTGAGTGTCTAGTTCTTCATAACTTCATTGAAATATGGCCTCCCTTGTGAACAGGACCCCAAGTTATTTTACTACAAGTCAAGTCCACTGTGCTCTCCTCTGAGCTACTTATTTGTAAGAACTACTGTTCTTGTATAGCAATGACTAGATTCTGTGTCTCTGGCCTTTTCAACTTTGTGAGCACCTACCTTTCCATTATATGTGTTAAAACATCTAAGACAAACCCAGTGGCATGGTGGATGGGGGTAGGGGATTTATTCTCCTTACTTGGAAATCTAAGAGCACACTCCTCAATTTAGCCTCTCAGAAGAAACCACCCTTCTTGTTTTCTTGGCTTGGCTCTCTTCTATGTGAGGTTGTGCTGAGTAGACTCTGAGGGCTTCCATAGCCCAGGGGATATGTGATCTTTGGACTACATCTAGCATCTCAGAAGAGGATCCACTGGTTCCATCGAACTATTCAGAAGTGGGGTCACTGGCTTCTATAGTAGCTTCCTTCCACCTCTCCTTCCTTCCCTGACCACTTTCTACAGACATCCAGAGTCAGATCCTTACACTTTCTGTTCTAAGCCCTTCAGTAGTCTCCCAGCTCAGTCAGAATAATAGTCTAAAAGCCTCACATATTGCATTCACCTACATAGCACCCTCTCCTCATTTCCTGTTCTCCTTCTCCACACCCCACTCTTCTCATTCTGCTGGCACTCTTCCTCTTCTTGAAATGAGCCAAGCATAGCCCTTCCCTGGGGCCTTTGCTCTGGATGTCCTCATGCTCAGAGCACTCTTCCTCTGGATCTCTGTAGGGCTGTGTTCTTCTGTCTCCATGTTGCCTTATCAGAAAGGTTCTCCCTGACCATGAGGCCTTCCTATTCTGCCTTATTTTTCTTTTTTTCTTTTTTTTTTTTTTGTCGGTCGTGGGGCTTGAACTCCAGGCCTGGGCGCTGCCCCTCAGCTCTTCAGCTCAAGGCGAGCGCTCTACCATTTGAGCTACAGCGCCACTTCCGGTTTTCTGGTGGTTTATTGGAGATAGGAGTCTCACGGTCTTTCCTGCCCGGGCTGGCTTTGAACTGTGATCCTCAGATCTCAGCCTCCTGAGTAGCCAGGATTACAGGCATGAGCCACCAGCGCCCGGCTCTGCCTTATTTTTCTACAGCACTTACCACCATGTACGATACTCTTCACTTTTATTATTTGTTCATGTCTGGCTCTTTTTTTCTTTTCTTCATTAAGCTTTATTTTATTAAATAGGATTTCAGCATTATTCTTGATTTTAAAGAAGTCTTTGCACTTAAATTGACTCCAGCTCATCCAATCACTTTGTCATAAGTAAATGTAAAAATCTTGAATTTTGTAATTGATATTAACAAAACATTGATTTAGAAATTTAAAAGTGGGATAAGCAGTAGTACTCACTGGATCCTATGTTGAAAATATACTATACAATTTGTGGGTAGAAACAAAAAGGAAAAACTGGGAGAGACCAAAGGAAAGGGTGACATTAGCCAAAAGAAATGTACTCATTACCTGACTTATATAACTGTAACCCCTCTGTACATCACCTTTCCAACTATCATTATTTATCAAACAATAGTTAAAAAGTACCCTGCTTTTCTTTTTTTTTTTTAAAACCAGGTACAAGATCACAGAGAGTTCTCTTCTGAATTCCCAGCACCTACTGTTTTGTGGGTTTTGTGCTCCATAAATAGGAATTCAATAGTGAGGATTTTCCAGATTTCCTTGCTAATTATCCCTCATTCCTATGGCAATACATTCATGCTGTACTAAGTCTTCCTCTAAACTACTGGCTTTCATTCCTGTCTGTGCTATTAAAGTATGGGACATTATAAAATAAGAACTGCCTTAGTTTTTTTCCATTTTATTTATGACACTTTATATTGTAAGTATTGGATAAATGTTAAAACACACACACAAGAATATGAACTGCCTAATGATGGGCCACTGTTGTCACTTTGTAGCAAAGCACTTTTTCAGCAGCCTGTGGTGGCTGGGACCTGGCTTACAGGGACTGCTGGATGCACTTCTTCTAGGGAACAGCTTGCCATCATGCAACTGTTGACGGTCCCAAATAAATGAGTATAGCCTTTTAGTGTTGGGATGGCTGCCAAATTGCAAGCATTTGCAACAGAAATTATAGAGAAAATGTTAAGATGGACAGTGCAAGTTGCTGTCAAGTGCAAAGTATAAAGTATTACAGCATAATATTAATTGCCAAATTATGAATGTACTACTCTGAAGTCAGACTTTACTGACATTGTTAAGTGAAGGACATTTCCCAAGTCACTTGAAGGCTCTGTTTTAATTCACTATATCTAAGGTGAAGTTCCATTGAGTAAGTTCCATTAAGTAAGTCTCCTAAAAACTGGATCTTAACCAGTTAACACCATGTATGACTTTTCTGGATGATGAAGTTCTTTCACAGCATCCCTTGAGATGAGAGGGAAAGGTAAAGCTTTGTGTTAGGTTTAACATAAGCAAAATCATAAAGCCTAATCTCTGGAGACTTTTAACACTCGCATGTTTCAGACATTGGTAAGGGCCTGGCATGTTGGAACTTTATATCCACACACCTTTCCAAATACTTAGTAAACTATGTAATCATCATTAATGTCACAATATCATTTGTATATTCAAGAAATATAGACCATGACCATACAACTACTAGTATAATTTCATGACTCAGTATTCCCTGGAAAAACTTTTAACTGGATTAAATGAAAAAAATTTTACTAACATATTTGAAAAACTGCCAACAGCTGCTCCAAATTACCGTGCGATATCTGATGTTCTGCATATACCTGTCCAAAATGGAAAGTGAACTTATTTGTTTGACAGAATGAACTCAAATGATTTAATGTTCAGTTTTTTTCCCCCAAAGTTACTTGTTCTCTTTAGAAAAAAATCTTAACAAATGTTACATAGCACATTTTTGTGTCAGGCACTAATTTAATCACTTTATAAATAATAAAAGACCAAGACATTTAGAGTGAGAGTTTTCTCACTTGGATTTTCCTTGAGATAGTGACAAAATTAGCCAATTATCACTAATTGTTCTCATTGTATAAAATAAAATTTCCCTAGAGCATTCAAGTAGTAGCAGAATTTCTGCCCGATAGTTTTGATTATTCATGGTCTGCACAAAGAATTTCCTGGCAAAAGAAATGTAAAAGTTCAGAATTTTAAAATGCAAAATCGTTCCTTGATTTTTAAAAATTTTTTACATTTATTTTAGAAAATTTGAAAATAATGTAATGTCAGTGGAAAAAAATAAAACATTCCCACTTATTTTTTCCTAGAGATTAGCATATTTTCTCTTTTCTTTCTGTATTTTCATGAAACCAGCATCTTCATAGTTTGTTAATTAATGCTTTTCATAAAGCAATATAAAATTTCTAGTACATAATAAATAAATAAATAAATTTATGTACATTCACTTAACATTTCCCCCTTCAATCTTATTTGCCTTTTGTGCATTTTGGAGGCTTTCATTTTTTAATTATTCTGCTAAAAATCTGCTGAATGTTTTTATGATCTTAATTTGTTCTTATAATCTAGTGATTATAAGAATGCAGGGCCTTATTCTCACTTGTTTGCTTAGCACTCTACCATTTGAGCTACATTTCCTATCTAGCTTTACTAGTTAATTGGAGAGGAAGTCTCTCTACCTTTCCTACCCAGGCTGGTTTCAAACCACAATCCTCCAAGTCTCAGCTCCTAAGTAGCTAGCATTATAGAATCAGCCTCTCCCGAGTAGCTAGGACTGTAGACCTGAGTCACTGCTGCCTGGCTGAGAGCATATTGGTACCTTAGAACATAACTCGTTAGTGATAAAAGGAGTTATTGCACTTTACTATAGAATGTTTGGTCTGCTAGTAGGATTGTATTGGCTGTTTAGCTAGAAACTATAATATTAGTGTTTCTGTTTTTCCAGTTGGGATGAATGAAACCTAAATGGGATCCTTGTGAGTTTCAAGATGGTCCATAGTAATATAAGAGATGAATGCTCTTTTTACATTCATTATCACAAAGCTCAGGCACTCTCCTACTGTTTACTTTTTTTTTTTTTTACATTCAACTTCACTAAGCGATTTTTCTTTGACATAATTTATTTTTCATAGACTTTCTCTGTGTTCAGCCAGAATAGGTTAGTTTATGCTGCAGTAACAAATAACCCTCAATTCTCAGTGGCTTTGCCCAATAATATTTCTTGTTCAATTTACATATCACTTGTGGATTGGCAGAGAGTCACTACTCATTAAAGTAAGTCAGGAATCCAAAGTGGTTACTTTGCCAGAGGGAAAAAGAATGTTCTGGAAGGTCTTGACTGGCAATGAATTGCCCTGGGCTGGAAGTGGCAGCCATCATTTCTCAATGGACAGAATAATCACATGTTTCATCCATCATGAGGGATCCAAAAAGCTGGTTGGTAAGGGGAAAATTTTGGAACTATTGTTCCAGAATAGGAACAGGACACAATCTTTGCTTGTGATTCACTTTATAGTTTGCTGAGAAAATTGAAGGGCTCCCCAATCACCAAATAAAAGAAAACAATTATAAAAAATCTTCCACTAAACTAATAGTGAGGCGTGGTGGCTCACACATGTCATTCCAGTATTCAGATCAAGCAGGATATCACATTTTAAGTCAGTCTGGGCTGCATATTGAGACCCTTTCTTAAAAATAAAAATAACAAAACTAAAAAAGCAAAGTAAATAAAAAAACAACCAATAAAAGGTAACCTCTGAAACTTATCTGCCCGTTATCAACCTGTCTGAATTTATATCTTTTCTTTTTCCATCCTTTTCTAATACAGGAAATCATCTCATATTCAAATGTTTTGGATCATAAACTTGGCCAGTAACAAATTTGTACACATTTAGTGGTGTCCTAGTAAATGTTTAGTACCTGGCTTTTTGGAGGAAGTTCCAACCTTGATCATGTGTTAGTTTATATCTATCTTAGTCCAGGCTCTTGTGTCCTTTCTTTGGATGCTAGTATTAGCTCTTACATAATTTGACATATTACATGTATCAAGTGGTTTAAAATCCTGCCTGATACTATAACTAAGAGTGAAATTTTAAATCATTCTGCTCCCCTTGAAATCTTCCACTACAATTCGAGTGAATTCCAGATTCTTCACTGTGTGCCGTGCATCCTGGCTTCTGCCTTCCTTTTGTCCTTATTACCAAGCACCATTGAACTCTGGCTATGTACAAATTCATGGGTCAAATGGTAAGGAGCCAAAGTGGTGAAGGAAAGCCAATACAGTCCTCTTCTCCATCAGTAAACCCATGGGCTCCTGCATAAGGGAAGAGAATTATTTTGTTACTTTTCAGTGTCCTTAGTTGGATGATTACGTCATTTCATCATTCATCCAGCCAGCCACCCATTTAACATTTGTTGAGTATATTCTGTGCACTATTTTGTAGTTGTGAACAAAATTGCATGGCTCAGTGTTCATGGAGCTTAGTTTAGCACAAGACTAGAAGTGTGGCTTAAATGGAGAGTACTTGGGAGGACCTGAGTTCACTTTAAAAAAAAAAAACAACCAAACAAGAACATATGCTATGGAGCCCTGTGACATCAAATGCCAGGTCTGATGTTCACAAGTTGTTTTTGATTTTGAATGAGTTTTTTTTTTTTAATGTCTCCGTGCTTCAGTAGTTATATCTATAAGCTGGAGAAAATGACACTATGCATAAAATTGTAAGAAATGAGTTAATGTGTATAAATCAGTTAGTTGAATAGTTGGCTTATGGTGGGCTCTTAATATATGGATAATGAGTAGTTAGTTAATAAAATTGTATTTTTCTGGGAGAGCCAAAGGCTGAGGGTTCAAAGGTAGGGAGAAATGGTAATAAAAGTAGCCTGGGAGGAGCGCTAGGAAGGTGGCTCAGTGGTAGAGTGCTTGCCTTGCATGCATGAGGCCCTGGGTTCGATTCCTCAGCACCATATAAGCAGAAAAAGCCGGAAGGGGGGGCTGAGGCTCAAGTGGTAGAGTGCTGCTCTACAGTTGAAGAGCTGGGGGACTGGGGGACAGCGCCCAGGCCCAGAGTTCAGGCCCACAACTGACCAAAAAAAAAAAAAAGTAGCCTGGGAAATCAAAGCACAAATTCTTACTTTTTGTTTCAGTTGAAGAAGATTAAGATTTTGGGCTTAAATTTGACCATTTTAACTGGAAAGTTTGACATTTACTTTGAGTCTTCTTTTGTTAGACTATGAAGATATGAATCTTCTTTGGAAATGCTACCTTGTAGGCCTCCCTTCTCCCAATGTCCTCAAAGTAGCACATCTTTGAAATAATCAAATTATAGCAATTCATCAACTTTTTTATTTTTTCCTTCTTGCTTTTGTTTTAGTGGCAGCTGAAATATCCTAAACTGATTCTCCGGGAAGCTGCCAGTGTGTTGGAAGAGCTCCACAAAGAGGTCCCTGAAGCCTTTTTCACACTGCACAAGCATGGCTGCTTATTTCGGGACCTGGTAAGGATTCAAGGCAAAGATCTGCTCACTCCGGTATCCCGCATCCTCATTGGGAATCCAGGCTACACCTACAAGTACCTCAACACCAGGCTCTTCACGGTGCCCTGGCCTGTAAAGGGCTCTAACATAAACTATACTGAAGCTGAGATCGCAGCTGCATGCCAGACCTTCCTTAAGCTCAATGACTATCTGCAGGTAGAGACCATCCAGGCTTTGGAAGAACTTGCTGTCAAAGAGAAGGCTAATGAAGATGACGTGCCAATATGCATGGCAGAGTTTCCCAGAGCTGGTGTGGGGTCATCCTATGATGATGTAGTGGATATTAAGAGCAGAGCGGCATACAATGTGACTTTGCTGAATTTCATGGATCCTCAGAAAATGCCATACCTGAAAGAAGAGCCTTATTTTGGCATGGGAAAAATGGCAGTGAGCTGGCATCATGATGAAAACCTGGTGGACAGGTCAGCAGTGGCAGTGTACAGTTATAGCTGTGAAGGTACAGTCTACTCTAATTGTAATATAACCAATTGTTCAGCTCTGAAGATATGCATGTGCATTCTTCCATGTGTGTATACGTACACTGTGTGCATTTGTGTGTGTGTGTTTGTGTCTGAGTTGTGTGTCCTTTTGGGGCTTGGCTCACCTGTGTGTCTGGAGAATATACCTCTTTCTATTCTAGCTGTGCTCTCTGGCTCACTGTTACTGCACTAAGAATAGTTTTTGCATGTAAGCACTACTGTCATTTTGACTTTTCTATATCCAGGACAGCAGCATCTTGGATTCATTCAGCCAACTGCTTTTCTCTAAAGCTCTAAGTAGATCATACAGTTGCTATAATTAGCCTGCTAATAAAGGGTCAGGAAAACAGAAATCTATCAAATCTTTCCAGGTTCTCACAGGTGCATATTCTGTGTTGCCAAAATTCTCTCATGGTTGACATTATATCTTGATGAGTGTGATTTGTCAAGTATTGGCTTGTTTTAGGTTTCATATCATTTTTACTACCATCCCTTCTTGCTAGCAGCAGTTGAGATGGCTTTTGTAAGCAGACATTCCTGTTTTCAGCAAATTATCTAGTTCCCTCTGCAGTTTTTCAGTTTTAAACCTTGTTGGGTAGCTATGGATAACTTGTTCTTGTTTTTTTTGAAATCCATTTGTCTTGGAACAAAGATCATAGATTATCATTTAGTGCTCTACCAAGATTTCTTTCTTTTGATTAGGATCTTCATAGTTTCTAGAACAGCTCTGTAAAGAGGTAGGTACATGTACAAAGGGCACCATGACCACTTTTTTTGTCCCTACCTATTTGGCAAAGTAGCTCCTCTGTGTTCTGCTGAAAGATTTTGGAAAACCAAAGTTCTAGATATTCTCTCAGGGAATGCTGGAATTTTTAAGAGCAATTTCTTTTAGGCAACTCTAGTTATTTTATTGGATTTTGTTGTTATTACTTGTGTTTGCCTATGGCCAAGTTTTAAAAATGTTTCTATGTTTCAGTATAAAGTAGAGAAAATAATAGTATGCATAAAATCATGAGAAATGAGTTAATGCACATAGATCAAGTAGAGCAATATGTGGCTCACAGTAGATACTTAATATCAAGTACAATAAGTACTTGATAAAATTGTGCTTTCTTTTAGAAAATTGGTTTAAAGAAAAATCTCATTATAATCTTAAATTTCTTTCAATTTTTCAAATCTCAGACAATTCCCCAGGATTACTAATACCTTTTCTAATTTTACTTTTTGCTTTCTGTCCAAAACGAGGAACTAGTTTAATGGTTGGGAATTTCACCAGCATTCCTGGCATATCAAGTAATGATGCAGATCTAAGAGCAAATCCCATGAAAGGATTCAGTGCTGTCCTAAAGGAAAGAACTAGAATGCTCTGATCTTTAAAAATAGCTTGCCAGAAATTGGAGAGATATGGAATCCCAGAACTCTGATGCAAAAGAGCAATGGCATTGGTTAGTCTCTTTCGGGTAGAGGCAGCACTGTGAACCTGCAGCAGTGTATGCTACAACCATGTCTTTGTATTCTCACTTATTCTCAGTCTACAGATTTCATCTTCTATTGTGTGTTCTTTGTATGGGTGATCAAATGAATTTTGAAAGCTTAGATTCCTTTCAGAAAGGAATTTAAAATTTTAATAAATAGTTTCTAAGGTGAAGAGTAGGTAAGATCAGTACAGTATATAGTTATAAAATATAAATATACATTATATACATAAATATTACATATTATATATTATATAAATATATAAACAGAAAAATCTTCATACTGGCAATTGTCATGGGGGGAACTATGGAAGGTGATCTATAAGAGTTTTGTTCTCTTCTGGGATTCTTGTAATTCTATCCAATAAAAATGACAGTACTAAGAGCTCCTGCTTATTGAATACCTACTGTTGGAGAGAGAGAGAGAGAGAGAGAGAGAGAGAGAGCCACTGTAAAGCACTCTGCTATGTTATAAGCAGGCACATATATATGTGTATATACATACTCACAAACATATATCCTGCCTCTTATTAAGAAGCCACATTGAGGTTTAGGATAGTATTTTGTATGTGTTTATAAAATTATGAAATTTCTCTTGTGAAGGGATGCACAATTGTATTTCTCCTCTCCTCTCCTCCTCTCCCCTCCCCTCCCCTCCCCTCTCCTCCCATCCCCTCTTCTCTCCCCTCCCCTCTTCTCTCTCCTCTCTTTTCTCGGTTGTGGGGCCTGGACTCTTGGCCTGGATGCTGTTCCTCAGCTCTTCAGCTCAAGGCTAGCGCTCTACCACTTGAGCCAAATGCCACTTCTGACTTTTTCTGCTTATGTGGTGCTGAAGAATCGAACCCAGGGCCTCATGCATGCGAGGCAAGCACTCTACTACTGAGCCACCTTCCCAGCCGCACAATTGTATTAATACTATTTTTATTAAGAAATGAAGAAACTGAAGCACAAAAGCATAGTTAACTTGTTCATGGTTACATAGCTAGTAATTAACAGACCCAGGATTTAAACCCAGACCTCTGAGGGTCTTAGTGTCTTAACTTCCAAAGCATTATATCTTAGGAGCCAGTATTTACTATCCTATACTGTCTATAGCCTTGTGGGTTGGGGTTTTAAGTTATCCATTTTCTGAAAGGGCGAAGGGATCCTTCGGGCTCTGACAGCTTCCTTTCTCCCCCACGTCTGTTAGTTTCCCCGCACATACTCTCATGTGATTGGATTGGATAAGCTTAGTCTATGAAATGGAAAGGTTCTTGACTATTGTATGCTTTTGGTTCAGGTGCTAAACAACCAAACATCTTTCTAAGAGTTTTTTTTTCCCCCAAGTGACAAGTGATATGTTTAGTTTTTCACCAGAAAGTAAGGTAGGGATAAACTGTCTTGTAATCCTAGGGAAAAGGTTGACTTGAAGAGCCATTTGAGTTAAAATCCTGATTGGGGTTGAATCAGCTTTATAGGGTCACAGAGTAGAAACTACAGAATCTGAATTGTTTCCCATGACCTTGAACATATTGAGTGATTACTAAGGGAAGTTCAGTTAGCCATTTTAGACACTATGGGGATTCAGAGATACATCAAAACTGTATGTCTTGAGCAAGTAGATGATATAAAGTGTGCTCTTGGGATTATAATTCTTAAATGATGAAACTTTGGATCTAGAAGAGATTTTTGAAATCATCTGGTTTTTGTATCCCAAGGGGAGAAAGGAAGTAGCTTGCCAGAGGTCAAGAACAGGGATGTCTGCTGAAGAGTGTGACTTGCTACTAGAGAGGTTCACATAAACTGCATTGGGAGTTCAGATTCAGAAGTGATTACTTCTTACTGAAATTAAATTCAGTTGAAGCTTAAAATCTTCAGGACTTTGCTTTCAATATCTTTTCCCAGGGAAATCTTCTTGTAGATTTATAATGAGCCAATCATCCCTCTTTGGTTTATTTTCATGAGTAGAGGTCATTGAGAAGTAATTTGTATAGGATACGTGTAATTATATACTAAATTCATTGGCTTTCATATGCATTTCTAGTTAATAGATATCTCTAGAAGGAAGATTGAAATGGTAGAATTTTTAATCAGGAATGGCTTCAGGGAGCTATATGTAAATAGGCAAAGTATTTGATTTTCCTATTCCAGCTTTACTGGCAATTGGCTGTTACTCCTAGCTGTATAAAAAGAATTTTAGCAGGGAAAGCCTTAAAGAAAGACCCATTGTTTAATATGGCCCAAATCTTGTTTGGAACATCTTCAAAAGTGTCACCTAGACAATAACTATTGGTTTGTATTTTTGTTCCATTGTTTGGACATTGTGACATTGTGTTTGTAGAAAAAGTAATTATTAAGGTTTCAAAGTAGTATTTTAATATTACAGAGTATCTCCATTATTTTTTGGTCTCTTATGAAGGATCAAGGAGACTTGTAGAAGGAAGAGAGTCCAATCCATGTTTGCCATTGAGTGTATGATAAACTGCAAAGTAGGGACTTTATAGTAATTTGTTGTTGTTGTTGTTGTTTTTTAGAATCCTAGGATTCCCATCCAAGTTTCTGATTTGGGAAAAGCTGAATCCTCTAAAGAAGGAAATTTGTTCCATATTCTTGACTTTACTTTGAAATGAACAGCTCTTATATTCCTTAGGTCATCATTGTGACCATGTGAAACTGTATTATAATTTGGGCTAGGGGTTTTGGAGCATCTTTTTTTTTTATTTTTAGAGCACCATAATTTTCAAAAGTGACATTTAATGTTTTTCTTTGCCTCTCAGCATCCCTGACTTAAGATCTAATTTGGTCTGTGTTTTTGTCAGTTATTTTTAAGAGCTCTTACTACTGCGCAGTAAAACTCATAGGGTTCTTCAAGGTACTTAAAAAAAAACTCCCTGGGAAACTATTCGTTTAAAAATTATATTTATGTTTTTATTATCTTTCAGTAGTTGTACAAAGAAGTTACCATTCAACAAAGCAATTTATGAATATAATGCATCTTGATTTATGTTACCTTTTTCATCATTCTCCATTCTTCCTAACCCAACCCTTCCCCTCAATTTTCTTAGTTTCTTTCTCTCTTCATTTATCTAGCCCCTTTCCTTGGCCTACCCCCACACCTTTCAACTGCCAGTTTCTTGGTGTTCATTTTGTTGGACCATGAGTTTTTCTAAAGAATTATATCACTTGAATTCTTGCCTATAAATACCATGTTTTGGCTAGTATATTTGTGTGCATTTGCATACAACTTTGTATGTGTTTACTTGTACATTTATAAATTAATTCTAACTTGCACACATGAGAGAAAACATGTGTCCTTTGTCTTTCTTGGCTTGACTTACTTCACTAATCATTCTTGGAGAAAATAGCTATTTTCTAGAGTAAATACAGAACTCTTAAAAATCCAATTCAGTTATGTACAAAAAACTTGATTAGGCACTTCTTGAAAGAAGACACACACATAGGCAATAAGGATATGAAAATATGCTCAACATCATTTAATCACCAGGGAAATGTATATCAAAGCC